GCCATATCAGGTATTGGGATTAAGCCACAGATTCTAAGCCCCGCCCATTCAGGAACAGGGCAGGTAGGAGTGGCTGGGGATTTTCCATGCAGGTAGATGGAGACAGGTGGGGAGGATTTTCCACAGGTAGGTTGCTGACACATTTTGAAGATGACTCTAATTATCATCAGCCAAAAAAGATAAAGGCAAATATTCATTGGTTCATATTGTCTCTGTGAGGCTACCTGCTGCCTTGAAGCATCTTTGGCTGCTATGTATGTGGAAATGAGCACACAGGCTGTTCAGTCAGATACTGTAGTCCTTGCTGTCGCCTGCTTGAGGCTTTATTACCTGGAAACTGTCTCATAGAGTAACTCACAATGTTTGTTTACAATAATTTCCTGGTGGAAACGCGTCTGTAATGTACATGAAATGAAATGACACTGAGCAAATGCTGGAGAAATCAGTCAGCTGTTAGCCACCTAATAAAGACCCACTTAAAATATCAGTACCAGTTAAAGTGTACACTATATTTACAATATGTTCACAGCTCTACTGTCACGCAGCCCTCTGATGGGAAATGAGGCTGTTATCTCAGGGCCACCAGACTCAAGAGACAAAAACAAACATCTTATAACATGTGAGTTGCTGCTCTAGCTTTGCTGTGATTGGTTAAGGTGACGCGGTGAAGATATTCCAAATATGGCGTGCACTTAAACTGGTATTGATGGTTTTAGGTGGCTAAAATACAGTTTGCTGCAGCTCCTGTCCACAGAAATACACTGCTTAGCTTCTATAGGCCTGCTGGTAGGTTTGGGTTATCAAAGACACTAGCAATGTCTCACAGTGTTGGGCAGTAGCGTCACTACAGTACAAGTAGCAACGTCACTATTTTAACTGCATTTCTCAGTAGCGTGGTGGTGACATCACTACTTTCTGAGTCAAATAGCCTTTCAGTAGTGAAGTTAATTAAATGAGCGTCCGCAAAAGTTACAAGTTCTTTTCCCAGGTAGAGCTCTGAAGTGCAACACTCTTTTTCTGCACAGGCCTGGATGAATTTAAGGATAATAAAACTGAGGATAAGTCATGTTACTGATGTCAGCATGTAGACGAGGGAAGCACTTCGTATGACATCATGTACTAATCCTTAGCCTCGCGTCACCAGGCTCTTCACATACGGCAAAGAGCCTGGTTTCCATTCACTCTGAATTTTGTCTGGATTCTGGTTCCAGTCTAGAGAGCGGATCCGGAATTCACCAAATTCACTAAAGTAAAACTTTAAATTCTGGCGCACCATCGATTTCTGTCTCCGGTTTAGTACCATATTGTTGTTGTGGTTGATAGAGCATGCTACATGACGAGCATCACACAGTTTTCCTCTCTTCCGCCCCCACTGCCCCAAACTTTATCGAAAAAATGCATTTACAAACTACAGGTATAATGAACAAAACTAGGATCAAGTGCCTATTAAATAAAACAGACAACTGAAATAGACAATAACATGTAATACAATTAAATACAATAAAAGAAAAAGGTTAACTTAATGGCTTGGGGCTTTTCTTGTAAATTCTTTGAATTAAAAAGTTTCACTGCATTTTTATTAGCTTGATGCGTTTATTTTGACGGAAAGGCGCATCCATCGAATTCCGGATCCTGTCTGTCTCGCCCTGGTTCCGGTTGCTTACCAAAACAGCCACTAAACGGCCCCAGACTAATCCTAGAGTTCATTCTGCTTGTTGCTTTGCTATTGGCTTTTCTTGGTACTCTGCCTCTGATTGGCTACACTGCACTCATGTGTCCTGACCATAGACTGTATATATTTAGTGAGTTTGCAGTGGACACCAGAGAAACCGACACAACAAGGGATAAGAAAATAGCTGAGAGACAGAGGACAGTGGAGACAGAGACATACTGATGTCACAGGTTATCTGCAGGACATGTTCATGCTCTAAGTTGTAATTTAGGTCTTTTATTGTTATTGCTTATAATACTTTATTTTACTTATCATGGTTTTATTGAGTGAAAAATATATTTTGAAATTCTGTTTCTGAATCACTGACCGAGGCAGAGAGCTGACTGAAACAGGCCGAGACAGAGAAATGCATTCAGTAGGAAGAGGAGAGAGAAACAGAGAGCATTGATGTCATGTTAGTGGAGGACATGTTCAAGTGTCGCAAAGTCTTGAAACAAAAAAGAAAGGTTTAATTGAAGTCTGTTATTTCATAGTAAACAGTTCAACTGAACATATTTTTGCTGCCTGTTTGTCTGACAGTTTCTTTGATCACTGAGAAAACGCTGACTTGACATAAAGTCAAAAAATACGAAGCAGCTTTGCGAGTAGCAGCTACTTTTGCTTGGTAGCTTAGCTCGCTGCATTTCTCTGAGGATAGCTTCAATTAAGTGAATTTTCATTTTGACGTAGAGTAGGGCTGCAACCATTACCCGACTAATCGATGACTAATTGACTATTAAAATAATCAGTGACTATTCTATTCTTCTATTCTATTTTTCATAAAAAAAAGTACTATAAAGTACCCCAAAATACTCTTATTGCAGCTTCTTACGGTCAAATATTGGCAGCTTTACACACTCTCCCATGACGGTGAACTAAAACCCTTTGGCGTGAGTACGAAACAAGACATTAGATGTCATGATTTTTGGGTTTGGGAGAGACAGACCGACATTTTCAACATTGTAACACATTTTTCGATAAAATGATTAGTCGACTAATCGAAGAAATAATCCACTGATTAGTCGACAATGAAAATAATCGTTAGTTGCAGCCCTAATGTAGATTAGCTCACCATATTTTCCAAGTAGCTTGCCCAACAGTGGCAACACAGCACAGAGAATAAGCACAGCAGAATGTCAGATCGCTCGGACCACCATGTTTAACTATAAATCTTTAAATGTTACAGTCAGGACTGAAGATGATGACAGAAAAACAAGTTTGCCAATGTCACATATCTCTGCTGGAAGCATTAGCACAACATCACGATGATGCAGTCTATACAATAGTGATGGCCAAATGAAGCCTCATGAAGCATTTTCTTTATTTTCTGAGCCCACTAGATGGCGCTTTTTGTTCAACAAAAGGTTGAAAGCACACTGAATTGCCATTCTTTGAGCCTCTCTCTTTAAACCATGAGCGCCATCTAGTGGGCTCAGAAAATGAAGAAAATGCTTCATGAGGCTTCATTTGGCCATCACTAGTGTACACACTGCAGCACCATGTCTCTTGTTTAACACTTTTTTTTATTTCACTTGATAAATATGACATGTTTAACTATAAATCCACAGAACAAGGACTGTGACATCACTTCAGAAATGGATTCTGCAGTCAGTGAGGACGAGAGGAAAACTTACAGCCAACACCAACCCCTTCAATGTACACACGGCCATGTGAGTATCACTGTAAGACTAGTCTGAGTGGGCGGAAGTTCGCTGCATAGATCAGCCTCTCATTGGGCGGAACGAGCCACCTGCTGAAGTCCCGCCCTACCACCTCCGGTTGTGTAGCAGTTTTCAACACGTCCTTTACTAACTTTTGCGGTGTTCGATCTTGCGGGGATGTAGCCATTTTTCTGCCATGGTTCGCGTCCTGTAGGCGATATTTTTGTGGGCGTGTTACACCAAAACCTGTTTCCCCCCGGCAATATTTTTGCAAGCGCACTGTTGCTGTGGCACCGCCTAGAACTATTGTGATTGGTTGAAAGAAATACAAGCAGCTGGGGCATTTTTTTCTCCAATCTTAAAGTGAGAGTCGGCCCAGCCAGACCTTTCTTTTCTTGAGAAAGGTCTGGTGAGCGAGACTACTGTAATACAGACTTGAAAAATTATGAACCGCTCCTTTAATACACTGATCCATCAACACCACATCCTGATGCAAAGGGTTCAGTCCAGCTGGGATCCCTTCCTGCACGCCTCGTCAGTCGATCCTCATTTCCTGTCACTTCTCTGCTGTCAGAATAAAGGCTGGGAATGCCCTCCCCCTAAATACTATCACACACTGAATGTACTTGATGATGGCTTTAGGTTATCTTAGATTGTTAAACTTTTTGCCTCACAACAAATTAGGAGCTAGTCACAGTGGGGGAACACACTGGTGTTGTAATAACTCTGGCAACAGCTCGGAGATGAAAAGAAAGCCTTATTAAGAAGTACTTGCAGTACAGAGTCTGTAATCCTCATGATTTGTGTTTTCTAGTTTTGAAGAAATCCCATAGTCCCTTCTTCCATACTTGGTGAGCTCTGCACCTTTACCAGGTGTGACTGTGACACTCAGAGTGCAGGTGTGACTCAGGTGGTGACAACAGGGACCTGCGATTATCCAGCTGATTTTAGACCAGTCACTTTAATACCTCTGCCCAGACGCGTTTGTTGATGGGAGAGGAAGAGTCCCAGAAGGATGATCTCTGATTGGCCCCTGAGTCAATTTAAAGCAGGTATTAGGAGCGAGTTGTGCCCAGTGCGACACAAAGGGCACAGTGTTCCCAGTGTGCCCGAGAGACTAATAATATTCCAGCAGGACCTCTTCTATCTTAATGACTCAGGACATGCTATACCTGCCCTGCACTTGCCGGGTCGCTGCTCCACCCCTCCACCCTCCAGCACCCCCTCCCTGTTTGCTCCTATCTAATGCTACAATATTGTTTTATAGCCTCTTAGACGGGCTGTCGGAGTGACTGCATAAGCACTCAAGAGTTGGACACACCCACACTAAATACGCACACTTTTTTTATGATGTAAATTATTATGGCTGTGAGAGAGGAAGTTTTCTGTTCCGCTTGTTTTGTTAATTGCAGAGGCCTTTAAAGCATCTGTGAGTCAAAAAGTAGTGCACAAGACTCTCCACATCGTTTGGCGCTTGTGTACAAATAAAATAAAATAAATCAAAATATTGCACACAGATGCATGTATTTGCTTTTCAGGTTAAAATGTGCGGCGCGTGTTTAAATCAAGCGGTCAAGGTGACAGTGAGGGGCCGGGTGAGGACTAGATTTGCAGAGGTGTGGAGTGTGTGGATGCCACAGTGATCCACTAGACTGACGTCTCTCCGGTAGCGCAGACGAAGACCGCAGCCCGGTTATTTTACAGACTTCAGTACAGCCAAGCAGTCGACAGTCTCTCCTGCAGAGACACACAGAGGGGAAAGAGAAGAGGAAAAACACAGAACTTCAGCAACGAGAAGCTGTAGTTTTGCAGCATGTTCAACCGTCGGCAATCTCCGTTTAAACACACTCGCCCAGCAACTGTTTGATTTTGCTGGTGTGTTGGCATTATCTTTTTTTTTTTTTTTGGGAAACATTCGCCTTTTTCCCCCCCTTTCGGCTGATGTAAAAAAACCTACCCTCCTATATTGGAATGATGTGGACCTCTCATGATACTGTTGGATTTGTTTTCTTAGCCGGATTTTGTGTGCAATTCGGATTCTCCTTCGAAGGTAAGAATGACACATTTTCCTATCTCGGTGTCATCGTGTCGAGCTCGCTGCCCTGCATGGGAGCTGCTCGGTGCGAGAAAGTGTTAAAAGTGCGCAGTCTTTGCAGAAAAGCAAAGGAGGCTGTTTGGAGCCAGAGATGTTTGGACTGTGAGGGAAGGAAAGGTATGGGGAAAAGGGGAGCTCGCGGTGGGAGATGGAGAAGGTCGCGTTTTTTACCCCTCGTGATGGCGAAAAAATGCAACTGGTGATTGTTTGAAATCAAGTCATTTCACATCGTGTGCAGCAGAGCCACGCGCCTGCTTTTTTCTCGCCTTTTCCTTCATGCCCCAAAAACACAATTGTCTGCTAAAGACGTCTAACTACTTTTAAAGGGGCTCCTTGCGTAAAAAGTGAGCGATCGGCCGGTGATTTCAGCACCGCGGACAGCTGCAGCATGCGGCGGCTGTCCGCGGTGCTGAAAGCCTGCCCTGCTTCATGACGGAGATCACCACTTTCAAACTGCCTCTGTGCTCCTCTTCCTCATTACAGCTGCATTCCCAGATCACTGAGAAGTGCGCACAAGCCTCCACACAGTCTGAACTCGAGTGGGTACAGAATGGGAAGGATTTGGTGTGAAACTTTGCATGCACGGGTATCCTCGCTGCTTTTTTCGCACCGTCGCCACCACTCTGCTTTAGGCTGCGTTGCCTTTTTTTAGCCTCACTCACACCAAACTCCTTTATTAATTCAGCTATTTTCTCCGCTCATTCTGGCGCAGGCAAGTTTATTTTGGCACAAGGAGCCTGACAAAAAAACTCCCATATAATTCTGCTCGTAATGAAGTGTGTGAATAATGTAGCCGTGGTGCGACTGTGCGTTATGTAAATTCCCAATGAAGACGCTTTGGTATCTGTGACTGGTGGTGGAGGGGGGGGTGGTAGTGGAGGAGGAGAGGGGGGGGGCATCTCCTTCAATTAAAACAAAAACGCACCTTTATCAAGCGCACAGCTGCTGCGACCGCGCCGCGCTCACGACCGCATCCACAAGCAGACCATTTAAGTGATTAATTCATGGGTATTTCTTTTGCGTGCAGGAATCACACAACTGTCCCCCATCACCCCCCATCCTCTCCTCATCCCCCTCCTTCTCTCATCTGCAGGTCGCTTCACGGATCTGCCCTCCAACATGACGGTTAAAGAGGGACAAAACATAGAAATGGCGTGTGCTTTCCAGAGCGGAACCGCGTCGGTGTATTTGGAGATCCAGTGGTGGTTCGTGAAAGCGCCGGAACCCACTGACAGCGAGGAGGAGGTCGATGCTGAAGAGGTACAAGGGACCCTTTTTTTCTGTCCCCCCCCCCCTCTTTTCCCATCATGAGCTGTGCGAGTGATGTTTTAAGCACACCCACTCATAAAGGGAATAGGGCCATCCAACAAGTATCCGCGCTATTACGCGCCTTGTGTCATCAGCGTCGTGCTCGTGCAGCAGCCCTGAAGACAATACCAGGCACTCATGGCACAACTTTTTGCTGACCTATTTCCTTATGAGGCACAACGTGTTATGACCTTCAGATATCTTAAGCTGCTCCCTTGAAGTGATCAAAAACTTCTTTAAAATCCCCCCATGTGTTCCAATAACACATTTCTGCCAAGGCTTGAAATCGCTCCTTAAAACCTGCACATGCAACTTGATTTTTTTTCCATATTTCAAGTAATATTTTTGCCTTCTTTCCCTCAAAGAGTTAAAGTAATCCCTCCACACACCGAGCAAGGAGCAGCTCCATCAAGGAAAAAAAATAATTACATTAATCAAGGACTACTGTGGGTAAAAAAAGGAGCTCGTTCTGGATATTAATTACATGATAAATGAAGTAAATGAGCCCAGCTTTTCATAAACGGGTAAAAAAAAAGTGTCTGAATCAATACAGCCAAAGCATATTTTTGTATATTGCCTCATTAAACAGTGCATTGGAAGCGCTTTGGCATTTTGTTATGTATTGCCGTTGCATTACTGCCTGCTATGACAGCTTCCCTCGCCCCAAATAATGATCGCCTGCTTAGTGGATGAGAGTGTGTTTACTGCATTCAGATAGATGGAAATGACTCGCTTACGTATTGTATGGCAGGTAGCTGCGTGTCAAGATTTGGAAGGGTTGGTGTATTGTCATGACAGACATCAAACAGTGCGCTTTCTATTTCTGTGACAAAGAGGAAGCGGGATATGTTTGTGTGTGTGTGTGTGTGTGTGTGTGTGTGTGTGTATGTGTCTGTGACAGGGGGTTGGTTCAATATCCATGTGGCTTTAATTATTGTTCCATTGTTGCCGGGCTTTCATAGTGGCGTCGGCCAGGCTTTGATGTGGGTTTGATCCCACGTGACTCTTGGATGTTGGGCTGAAGTGGGCTATTGATGCAGACATCTCATTGTTACTCACATTTCTTATCATGGAAGGCCGTTTGAAATGAAGGCCACTGTATGTGTGTGTGTGTGTGTGTGTTTGTCCTGCAGTGTTGCAGTTTGAATGGGAACAGAGTCAAGGCTGTGTCAGAGATGGTGCTTGGGAAGCAGCTGGTCTCCTGGAAATTTAGAGGAAATGAGCGCCATGTCTTAGAATGCAAATCCATATGCAAATATAAGCTGCGTGCATGAGGAGTGAGACTTGTTGGATCGTTGAAAGGGTGACATGAAAAGAGGAACGCGAAGAACACAGACGGCAGTTTCGCGCTGAAAAAAGTGCAGCAGGAGGAAAGTAATAGTCGGGCGGATGGGTGGGCGGATACTTTGTCTTCAACTCTCAGCGACCCGAGATCAGTTCTCAACTTTACAAATGAATATACTGTGAAATTGGGCTATTTTTGTCTGCGGCACGAATCCTTCTTACTCAACTTTTATTTTTGTGACTGCTTTATTTAAGGCTGCTCAGTCATATCACAAAGAAGAACATCAGACACATAACAAAACCTGACGTCCTGGCATCTGCCCATACCTCGCTGCAGCATATCCACACCGACAGCACTGATTAAAAGTTATCACCTTATTGTTGCATTTCACACATGGGTCCATTGTCTTGTCTGTGGGAGCATAATTTATAGGTGCACCCAGTTTCCCTGCAGTATTTCATGGAGTAGGAACCGGATTCAGACAGCAATATGAAAATGACCATGCAGACAATGAGTAATATACACCCATACATTAATGCTAGACAGTCTGCTTGTGCCCTTTGTGAAATAACCATTAAGCACCACTATTGATCACTTTGGTCTGCTGAAGTGTGCCACTCAAGTAGGTGAGACATTGATTCTGTATTTCCAAAAAAACCATCCAGTTTTCCAGCTTCCATTTCCAGGTGGCTTAATTAGGTCAAGCACATTTCATGCTGTCATTAGAAAGTCTTTATTCCAAAGCGTTAGAATTCATTTATTAGCTACAACCTTTAAAAAATGATCATCACCTTATTAGTTATACTTTGAGCACCCACTAGCTCACCTGGTGGAGCAGGCACCCTTGCACAAAGGCTGTGTCCTTGCCGCAGTGGCCATGGGTTCAATCCCAACCCCCTTTCTCCCCCCTTTGCGCTTTAACTGTCCTATCAAATAAAGGCAAGCAACCCCCAACATATCTTAAAATATAAACATATATACTTCACTCACAAAATGGTAATTTTTGCATTAATTACTCGCCACATGTTACCTTGACTTCATGAAGGAAAGTTTGTTTTTCTTGTATATATGTATATGTGAACAACGAATCCAAAAAGGCAAACAGTCTTAATAAATTGAAGGGGGTCCGCATTTAACAACAGCAAAACTGCATCAAAACATGCATTTACAAACTCACACAACTGTTGCAGTATAATCCAAGTCTCATTTATTCAACTGTAGGCGCAGCACTTCCTGAACAAATGGCCCTTTCCACATTTTCACCCCCCCAAAAAAAGTTCCATATCCTGTAAGAATCTACATGTAGATAACAGCGCAGCATTATCAATTAAAAGAACGTCATCAAATCACAGATCATTTGTGTATCAATTGCTGTTAACACTTTAATGTGTAAAGAAAATGTTTCCTGGCATACCTCCATGGTGAACAAAGAATCCAAAAACTGAGAAAATGCTTCACAAATTGAAGTCATAGGCGTCTGTGTTTAACTTCCGCTCGGCCGTGTGTGACACTGATTGTACCGACGTGTTTAAGTGCTGAGCAGCAGCGGTCAATACAAACAGTCTCATGCATGGTTGAGTAGCGTGAGTTTGAACTCTGCTCAAGTAGAGGTCACACGCATGTGCATGCTCAGGGTGCGCTACACATGGGCGGAGGTGTTTTTATATTGTAATGGATATGTTTGGGAGGTACTGAGCACATGTTTTGATATAGTTTTGCTGTTGTTAAACATGTACCAATATGTTTTCAATCAGTCATGAATTTTCTCCATTTTTGGATTCTTCGTTCACTGTGGAGGCATGTTTTTCCTCACAAATGTAATGTAATGTGGTGAGAAATTAATATACAGATTGTCATTTGGGGGGTGAAATATTTCTTTAACTGACAACACTGAACTGTTGGCTACATGTTGATTTTCACATTCTATAGAACACAAGAAAACGTGATGAATTTCTGATGTTTTTCACGAAATCTAATTTGTATTGGAGGAAAATCATTTTCACGTCGCAGCGTTTGTGCTCGTGTGTGCGCTGGACATGGATTAGAGGAAGAAGGCAAAAAAACAAACAAACAAGTCAATAGAGAAAGCTGCTGTTTGGCTGCAGCCTCCACAACAAGTGGTAAATGATTCTCCTCTCAGATTATGAATGACACGCTGCCAGTTCATAATTATGCACAAACACAGAGAGACAGAAACAACATATTCACACCTCCATGACAAAGAGGATTCATGTCGCTGACGGGATTCTGCTACACTTGTGATGTTGTTGATTCAAGTCATAGAGTAAAGATACTCAGAGAGAAGGAGAGCAGCACTGGAGAATGAGTGTGAGCTGATCATCTGCTGTTACAGAACATGAGCAGATTGCTGTGGAAGCAACGGGTCATCACTCTATATGGCATTTTGGTACGAGTACAAAACGAGGCAGCGTGGTGCGTGATTACACAAGATTATGTAGTGTTGTTTGGTATTCTACTGCATGTGCCAGGCCTTTGTTTATTAAATTATAACTCAAAAGACGGAGAGTATCATTTTGAGGATGAGATTTTAAAGGAATGCTTCGCCCTGCAAATGAAATTTTGTACATCAGTTAGTCACCCTGTGTAAGGTTGAATCTGTCAAGGAAACTTCTTGCATGCACGGTGAACAGAGGGTAAATTCTAAAGATCATGGGGATCTGCATTTTAAAACTAAATCAAAATGTCAATTTACAAACTCTCACACAGCTCATGCAGTATCATTTATCCATTCCTATACTCAGTACTTCCCTAACGGACACCCCTTGCTGACAGGGAGCATGTATGTATGCTCTTTTCAAAGCCAGACTTCATTGATTAAAACAGTAATTTTACCTCACCGAACACGGGAGCTGCTGGTCTATCACCGCTTTGATCAGTTCACTTTCCGTTCAGCTCCTCATCGGGAAGAGATGTCTGTTTGGGAAGTACTGAGCATATGACTGGATATATGAGACTTGAATTAAACTGCACAACAGATGCTCTAATATAGTTTTGCTGTTGGTATATGCAGACTTTTATGACAGAAATTAATCAAGAATTTTGTGGATTCTTCATCCACCGCAGCGGCATGTGAGAGAAACAGAGCATTCTGCACAAATTCAATGTAACATACCAGGAGTAACTGATGTATTGAAGGGTGAAGTATTCCTGTAAGTTATGAGCAGTAGTATGTTGAAGGCCTCTTTGCCTTTTACAAAGCCTCAGAATGTCACAGCAAAGCCATTCTTCTTTCATTTTAAATGCAGGAAACATTTTCAAAATCCACTCTCCAAGACGACAGTAATGAGCAGGATGAGGACTACCTCTAGACGTGTAGCGTGCCGTAGTGATCCGACAGAGTCCTGTCTTTGCACATGCAGCATGCAGTCCACATCTCTCAAATGCTCTAGGTCTGCTTTTAGTAACTACGTGGAAGACAGAGAGCCACGATCTGTTTTGCATTTCATAGAAATGAAAACCTGTCACACAGCTCTTGTTTAATAACTTTTATTATGTAACACATTTTTGGCTGTTTTGCCTTCATTGGGCTGAACAAATGCATTACAAGTAATTTCACTTATTGATCAGTGGTTCCCAACGTTTTTTAGTTTTTGAAATTACATTGCATACTACAGTGTTTTGCCAAATATGTTTTGAATGAAAGTCA